ACTCAGAAGAGAGATAAAGGAATTTTCTGTGATGATGGTCTTGTTTTGTAACTCAGTAGAGGTTTGGATTGTACAGATGTATGTACTTTTCTGAATTCTGAATTTATAATACCCTTAGAAGTTTGCTCTCTCTCTCTTTTTTTTTTTTAAAGATTGATTTATTCATGCATACAAGAGCTGGGGTGTCAGCCAGAGGTGTGGGCGGTGAGAGGATTCGCCAGAGACAAAGTGGGGAGCAGAACGGGCAGATTGACTGAAATACGCTTCTGAGGGGAGCAGCGGACAGCAGCGTGCGAGGCCAGCGGGCGATGCAAGAGAGGTCTGCTGTGCCGTGTGGGTTACCTCCCAGGCCAGGGATAGACCTCGTGCTGCAGTAGCTACAGATTGCTTCATAGTGCTGATACTTAACCCCTTGTACCACCAAGGAGGCCCCAGGGAGTTTGCTCTTTATCATATGTAAAATTTGCCTCAATGGGCCTCCCCTGGTGGCTCAGCGGTTGAGCACGGGGCTGCAAAGCTGCCCTCAGCCTCTGCAGTGCCAGTTCCATCCCTGGCCACCGGGGAGGGTCCCACATGGCCTGCAAACCTCTCCTGCCGCGCCTGCTGCTCCCCCTCAGCAGTGTACTTCGGTCCTTCTGTAGCAGGGTGGTCCCCAGGAAAGGGGGAGGTTCCAGGTTTCCTGCCCCACCCAAGGGAGGGTGGAGCTGAGCAGGGAGAGAAGAAGCTGCAGAGGAGACTGAGGAAGGAAGCAGAATGGAGCCAGAAGGAGACCTGGGGGAGGCGCATGGAGCCTAGAGACACGTGAAGAAACTGCGCTTGCCTTTTGGTTGTGGACTGGGTGACACAGATGTGGGTGAGACCCGTGGGGAGGTGACAATGGCAGCTTTTATCTTGATTTTGATTTTGCTCTTTTCCTTCCGGGCTTGTCTGGTTGTTTCTGACCCTTTTCTGTGGGTCCCCACTGGAAGATGCTTTAGACTTGTGGCAGGCTTTGGGGCCTTGCTCTGGGCTGATCCCATTTGGATGGAGTTTTACCCACGAGGGGACGGGTAACTTTGGGTGCTTGATTTAGAAACTATATTCTTGGCCTTTTCTGTATTGTTTCCTAATTGTAGTAAAGTTCCTTCCCATTAAAGTCTCATATGTTTTGTGTTGATGAGGCAGATGGCAGAACCCATTTAGAGCAGGCAGGTTTTGGGGGAATCTGGGATGTACCTCTCCCTGCCCTGTAACACTTCTGCCTGTCCTGTTCCCTGCTCTGGCTCTGGTGAATTCTCTCACCCTCCCGCACTTCTGACTGTACCCAGTGCTTGTATAAATAAATAAATAAATCTAAAAAAAAAAATTTTTGCCTCAATATAGAAACAGCGCCTAACTACTGAATTCTACATACCAATACACATACTGAAGTAGTCCATCTTAATTTGAAATTCATGAAAATTAAAATGAATCAATAGTTGAAAACAGGGTTGGATGATTGAAAATTGTCATGATAAAGCATTGGAAAGGGATTTTTTTTAAATCTTGGACAAGTTTCATAAATTTCTCAGCTTTAATTTCTATAAAGTGGAGGTAATAGTAGTTACTTCACGAAGTTGTGAAGTTTATGAACACTTGTCATAGGACTTTTAGTCTATAAGATCAAATAACTGGTTACCAGAAGGGAAGGGGGAGAAAGAATGGGTTAATCAGATAAAAGGGGCCAATTGTATGGTAAATGATGGAATTGCTTTTATGGTGAACATAAAGTAGTATAGGCCTCCCTGGTGGCCCATGGGGTTAAGCATTGCACTATGAAGCAATCCGCAGCCTCTGCAGCCTGAGTTCGATCCCCAGCTGGCCAGGGAGCAACCCACATGGTGCAGCAGACCTCTCCTGCCTCGCCCTCTGCTCCCCTCAGCAGTGTACTTTGGTCAGTCTGCCTGTTCTGTTCCCCGCTCTGTCTCTGGTGAATCCTCTCACCCCCCATCTCTGGCCTGTACCCCAGCTTTTGTATGCATAAATAAATAAATCTTTAAAACAAAAAAACAAAGTAGTATATATAAATGGTGATTTATAATGTTGTATACCTGAAACTTATATAATGTTATACACCAAAGTGACTTAAAATTTCTAATTAAAAAAATGAAAGTAAACTTCATGTACAAACTGTTAAAATTATAAGGAATAAAATGACAAAAGAAACTATAACTACTTAAAAAAGAAAAGAAAAATTGTAATGAAAATAAGTCTGGTCTACAGTACATGTTCATGTGATGTTGTTGCTTCTCTTTCATGCCTCTTACCTACCTGGTCCATTTCTAAGCCATGATTCTTTTTTTTTTTTTTTTTTTTTTAATTTGGTGGTCTTGCCTATGAGCAGGGGGTCTAAATATTCGGGAGCAAAATGATTGTGGTATGGGGAGTAATGTCTGTCTGCTGATTATATATTCCTTGAGTGGAAGAACATCTTTTACAATGGTAGTGACCCAAACTCCCCGAAGGATGGATAATCTGGTGATACTTGTTCTAACAGAAAGGAAAGGAGATGAACAGTGTTACAGGCAATTGTCAAATGGACTTTGATGTCACTAAAAACCCCATTTGTGAGCATTTATTTATTTAACAAATATTTATTGAGGAACTTACTGCATGCCTGGCATTGCACTAGGAACTTGGGGTACTGAGATGAAGATAGACAGTTTACGTTCTGGTAATGCCAAAATTGGTTGAATTACAGGAATCCTTTCCTTTAGCTAGCAAATCGTTACTGAGTGTTAATTCTATGCAAGGCACTTAGAATATCATAATGAACCAAAAGGATGTGGTCCAAACTCTCATGGAACTTCCCATCTAGCAGAAAATGCAGATTTTATCAAATCAGTGCATGTAACTATAATAAATACATTGCACATGTGCAAAATATTGTGAAAGTACATGGTTCTTAAAGAAATTTAGGTGAGAGACTTTTTCTAGCCTGGGTGAAAAGAATTTCCCCCCACCTCCACTCCCCCCAAACTTTTCCCTGAGTTAAGAGAGTAAAGTGAGCCCAGAACAGAGATTGGCGTAGCCAACCACTCAAGGCCAACACCAGAGTGAGGAGCAGGTTGGTGTACCAGGAGACAAAGAGGTCACTTGCATTGCTTGTTCAGTCCTTTTGATTTCTTACTGGATTATGCTTGAAGAGTGTCTCTACAGTTCAGTTAGAGAGACCAAACTGAGAATAGTAAGGAACTTTGGAATTCGTTGGTTTCAGTCTAATCAAAGAATAGAGCAAGAACCCCAACATTTCCATGGTGCTAAGAAAGTACAGGAGACACAGGGCACCAGGTCACTAAACACAATAATTACACAACTCACCCAGGGCAAGAACAGGTGTCAACTGAGGTCATCATCTCTGAGTAGAGAGTAGAGGTGAAGTGAATATGGAGAGCTGATGGGAAATGTGTGTCTCGCAGATGAAGATTACTGCTTGTACAATCACAACACAATCTAGAAACAAATAAAACTAGACTCATGGCACTACAAATTCTTCAACAGGGACACGCTGATCAGTGAAGTACTTCTCGCCTCTTCTGAACTGCTCACCTCTTCAGCAGGAGGGGATTGGGCTATGCTTGGAGAACTTCCATTTTCCAGCAAAATCAGCAGACCCACAACAGGTGTTTAATAAACACTGGTTGACTTATCTCAGATTCATTTTCATTTTCTACAGGGTTCCCTGAAGGATAAGAAAAAAACATAGAAATATCTAATGATGAGCAAAAGAAATACCCAAATGACAAGTTCATTTAGAGTTTTGTTACAATCCAGCCAAAATGTTGAAAGTGAGTCCTGGGTGATTCAACTTCTGTCTACACAAACACAAATTCCCTTCTCTGTCCAGAGGAATGGCCAGGAGGAAAAGCCCTATTCCATGGCATCTTTCTAAGGTCAACAAGGGCCAAAAGTGAAGGAAGCCAAAAATTTCAAGGACAATGCTGGGAAGCTAGCCTGTGAAAGATTTATGGCATTAGGCTGCCTGGCTGCCTAGTCTCAGCTCCATCACTGACCAGCTGTGAGACTTTGCTGAGCTACTTGGCTCCACTTCCTCATCTGTAATAGGGGTATCTGCTTCACCAGTGTTTTTCGAAAGAATCATTTGATTTAATGCCCTTCATATAGTTTTGGCATGTAATAAGTGCTCCATAAATTTTACTTTCCAAGTGGTTTTCTAAAATGATCCCAATTCCCTCTATAAATTGTTTTAATAAATATGATTAGCTAAATATGTATCTGAAGGTAAAATATGACAACTAAGACCTTTTACGTCAATAGATTCACAAATCAGAGAAGAAATCCTTATGCCCTGATATTGGTTCAGATATGCCTATCATAGCCACAAAATGCCCACGTGGTCTGGCCTCTCCGATTTGGAAATAACCTTCCTCCTAGGATTAGGCAGCATGCAACATGATGAATACCAGTATGTTGTCTTACTGACAACTGTGATTACATACCCCAGATCACTATGCTCTAATTGTAAAATACCAAAAGTCCAAGGAACCTATGCCTTCTGAGTTTGTGTATGTTTGGGCACAGGCCTTGAATTGTCCCAAGACCTTGAAGAAAGACAGGAGAAAATAATCAGGTAGAAACCATAAAGATGCTTTGTTTAAGCTGGTAAGAGTCACGACTTTTAGATTAAAAATGTTTCTGAAAAATTAACACACTTTTCCTGCTGGTATGTCTTTGCTTAAATTGTACTCCCTTCTGTAAAATTAACAGATACAATCTGGAGAATTTGGCGCCCTCACTCTCCCCGTGTGCGTTGGAATCTGCATGTTTCTTTTCTCTGCCTCTTTTCAAAGGTGCAGAAATACCAGAGCTGCCCCCAGCTAATGGCCAAACACGGTGTCAGCGCTCCTGTTCCCAAGCCTTTTAACCCTTGCTTCCAACTAGGCATCTGAAGGCAAAAACAATCTCGGAGAAAGAGCCCTCCCACTGCCTGTGATAGGCTGCTTGGAATAGCAACAGCCTGTGTCACCGAAAAGGGCAAAGCCTTCGGAAATAGAAACAAAGTTGGTCACAAATCACATTGGCTTTGCCCGAAGTTTTTTTTTTCTTCTTCTCCACCCTTCTTTAGCATGCGACCATGGGGAAAGTGACCACTCCTGTCAGTGGGGAAAGACTGGGTGGTTTGGTGCCGAGGGAGCAGCTGTAACTTCTACGTGACCATGGTACCTGTTGAAAACACAGAGGGCCCCAGCCTGCTGAATCCGAAGGGGAGAGCCCGGGAGACTAATGGCAGCCACAGAGCCAGCAGCCGCCAGCATCTTCCCTGGGCGAGAGGTAAAGTGAGACAGCTGGCCGACCGGCTAGAAGCAGGCTGCAATGGAGTCGTGTGTGTGTGTGTGTGGGGGGGGGGGTGTACACGTGCGCGCGTGTGTTTGTACTGCAGTGTGCTAGGTGCATGAAGAGAAGGGGACAGGGTCAGTTGGGAGGAGTGCCGAGGAGCTCTGATGTGAAGATTGAAGGTCTGCTGTTGGCAAGGTGAGTCTCATCCAGTGTGCTGACATAATAGAATGTGAAAATCTTCAGTTGGAGAAGAGTGACCACCAAGATAGAGAGATAACCTCACATGCCAATGCACACACACACATACACACACACAATTACATTTCTTGTTGTAAATGGACAATCTGTAACAAGTAGACTTTAGAATACCGTTTTAATCAGTATTTTAAGTAGACTTCATGAAATTATTAGTCATGTCATCAATGAACATAACTTTCTTTTTAAGTTCCCGGCATATTAGTAATTCATTTGAAGTACTATTCAGAGCCTAAAACTTAGCCTGCTTCATTTGCTCCTGCTTTCTTTACAACTGGTCTATTTTGATGAACTGAGGTCTATTTAATACTATTTCCTTCCAGAAGTGATATTTGGGAATTTTCATTCATTTCAATTATCTTTGCTAAGCCACACACGTTTCTTTACTTCCACATTCACAATTCCCGAAAACACCTTCCACACTTTGGTTACCTCTTCCTATATTCATTTAGTTTGTTTTCTAATAAATAGAAAGGAATTGTAGTATGGAATAAAATCAAAATCAAGCACCATTAGTTCTTTCCTTTTTACTGCTTTCCTCAACTCTGCTCCCCTAATCACATAATACATTCCTGGACATATACTGGAATTGCATGAATAATCCAAAACATTAAAGGCATTTACCTATATGCCTATGTTGGCATTGTGGGTTTGTCTGATCTTGGAATTAAACCCATGGCCTCTTTGGGAGGTTTGGAGTAGCACCCCCTTGGGAATTGAAAAACTGCTGTTCTTTCCCTTCTGCGCCCTGCTCAGAGTTCTCCTGCTTTCCTGACTTCTAATCAAGAAAGAAAATCTGGGTCATCTTTCAGTATGGCTCAGCTCTCCCTTAAGCAAAGCTGTGCTTGCTGGCTTGCATTTGAGAATAAAGGGAAAGGATCGCAAAGTTCTTCTCCCTGATTCTTGAAAGATCAAGCTGTTGTGGTGATGTCAATGAAAGGGTCTCCTAATTAGAGCCAGTGACATTGTCACAAAGAAGGTGAAAAATAAGCTTGTCTTCAAGGTGTCTCCACACTAACCATTGAAAATTAACTTTTTAATTTTGATATGGTTTTGAAAACACAAAGCACTTGAAGCCAAAGTAGGATAAATTGCACAAGTTCACATGTGTGTATGTTAGTAAAGTTTGAAATCATGCATGACATTCAATTTATTTTTTTTAAAGATTTATTTATTCATGCATACAAGAACCGATGTGCAGGCTAGAGATGCGGGGGTGGGGTGGGGTGAGAGGATTCCCCAGAGACAGACTGGGGAGCAGAACAGACAGATGTATTGAAATACACTGCTGAGGGGAGCAGCGGGCAGGTCAGGAGAGGTCTGCTGCACAATGTGGTCACCTCCCTGGTGGGGGATCGAACTTATGTTGCAGTGGCTGCAGACAGCTTCATAGTGCTGCGTCCTTAACCCATTGTGCCACCAGGGAGGTCCCCATGACATTCAATTTAATGTGCCACTATTTGTTTATGTTGATGTAGATAAAGAAAAATGAATAAACCAGACATTATTTTTTAAATTTAACTTTAAATGAACCTTTGTTGTGAAGAGAAACCTAAATATTCCTTAAAATCTTGAATCAGTATTACTTTGATTTGTGCTATACTATACTATATTTGTGTTTATACTTAGATGAATACAAATCTTCCATTATTACTTTTGTAAATTTTCCTAAACTGTCTTAAATATCTTTGGTATCCAAAGGGAATTATACTTACATATGTATATAATGAATGCATAGTTCAGATTCATTGTATGGTTTTTACAAATTAATTAACCTCTCCTATTGGAATTTAATTTATTCTGATTTCTAAAATGTTGAAATTTAAGGGACTTTTTGTAAAATATTCCTCTTGGCTTCTTTATGTTGTAGACTCCATAGTTTCATCCAGGAAATTCCGTCATTAAAACATATAGGATAATTATCATACTATTCCTGTATTGGAGGTAGCACTTTTTTTATTAATTCCTATAAGGAAAGTCAAAGTACAAAGAGGAAAGAGTTATATAACCCAGGATAAGATAATGAAGTCCTTTAAGATACTGAAAGACAAGCCAGAACAAAACAAAACCCATGAGTTCTGTACTTGCACGCCCAAATACTATTGTGCACAGCAAAAAGTATTGGCAGGTCTTCCTCTCTTTAAACTGGAAAGAATTCTTTGTTCCAATGACTAGAAACTAGTAAACTAAAATTCATTTTCAAGAAATTGTGACTCAAAAGTATTTTTAGTAAATGTTTCAGTGTTAACAGACTCAGACAGTTATCACTGACCTTACAGATCAGGGTTAAGCTTAGTTGCAAAGCCTGGTGTCCAGAATCAACACCAGCTATAAATCAAGAGAGAAATGTGAAATGCTGGAGCACCTTACACAGGGGAGGTGAGGTGAGAGATGTGTGGTTGGCTCAAGTTCATGCTGTAGCCACTGGGAAACTGACCCTGGCTGTCTCTGGCCTAAGGCCGCCATGCCAGCTTCTCTATCCTCAGGAGCTGAGTCCCCCCCAGGCTCTTCTTATTTCTTGATTCAAAGCTGGACGAGCGTTTCCTTCAGCAATCCCTCCATGTGAGCCCTGGCAGCACTGCTTTTCCATTTGGATCAGCCCAAAAGGTCAGAAACCAAGAATAATATTTACTGTATGAGTGCAGGTTCTCAGCGCTGCAAACCCTGGAGCCCAGATCACCAGAACTGTACTCACCCAGATGAAAGGGCTGCACTTCATCCTGCTATGACCCTTCTAAGTCCAAGAGGCCACAGTCCGAGATTTCAGAAATGCACATTTCTGCTATTCAGATGAGTCGCCTGTGATAGTTGTTTGGAACCGACTCCTTTTTAGAAATGGATGCTGAGTTGGTGGTCTTTAGTAAGACAGGTCAGTAACCATAGGAAGTGGAGAACAGATCTGGGCCATTGTCATCATTTTTTTTTTTTTTTAATAGAGGCATGTTTTATTTATTTGTTTGTTTGTTTGTTTTGTTTATACATGCACTGGGTACAGTCAGAAGCGCGGGAGGGTGAGAGAATTCAACACTGCCAGAGCAGGGAGCAGAGCAGGCAGAAGGACCAAAGCACACTGCTGAGGGGAGCAGCGGGCGGCAGGAGAGGTCTGCGCGCCATGTGGGACCCTCCTCCGGTGGCCGGGGAGCAGCCGGGTCAACCGCTGCGCCACCGGGGAGGCCCCTGGGCCATTGTCATCTTTCCAGACTTTATATATATTAAAAAGTGAAGTGACAAAAATCAATGGTAAAATTATTATTTTAAAAACATATGTACTTAACTAATTAATAGCTGACAACAACAGATTGTTGTATGTAGCTTGATATTCCCAAGGAAGTGAAGAATTTATAGAGGTGAACTTGTGAGGGACTATACTTTCAACTGGAAATAAAGCCAGCTTTAAAGACAACCCTCTCCCCTCTTACCTCAGTCAGCTTATCTCCATGACTGCACAGTTAACCCCACTTGGAAATCACATCAAAATCTCATTTTTTTAGGCTTTTTCTGGCCTTAACATATGTCAGGAGAAATGGCTTGCCCAAGTTTTAGAGAGAAGGCTTTGGACAGGAATGGTGTGAGGTATTTCACCATAAATTCTGGCTGGTGTCTGGCTTACACTGTAGGACTTTGTTGCCCTTTAAGATCATATCACCTAGCCAGACACCTCGACACAGACTGTCCTGGCTACTAAAGCAGCAGCAGCAGCAGCAGACATGCACTGGAGGGAGACTGGCAGACATGCATATGGATGAAGTCAGGCCTGGGAGCCACCAAGCAGTGCTGACAACCTGGAGGGACTGAAATTAGCCAGCCGACACCAGGGTGCCCAAACTGGTTTTACTGCCAATGTCTGTTGTGATAAATGGGTGCCCCTGTCCCAGTAGTTTATCATCTTAAACATCACCTTTCTCTCTGGTGGGGTTGACAGGAGTTGCTGAGGCAGCTGAGTTTCCAGGAGCAGGCCTGGGGCTGGCTCACAGAACACTGAGTCAAACCATCCCGATATGTCGCCATAGGTCCTTAGAGGGGTGCTTTCTAGTGGTGAAGAGCTTACTCTAAATATCAGAAACAGAACTCAAAAATTATGACTCCAACTTACAATCCCCTGAGGAAACTCAAAAGTATGTGTATTTACCTCAGATGAATCGACCAGTTTTAAAATGCAATTTTAATTGCTTCTGATAGGGGATTTTATTTTTCATTCAAAAATAGTCCTTGAATCTGGTTTTGTAGGTTGACTTTTCTCAATTGGAGGAACTCAAGTACTTTTTAGCCTCAGCATTCTGAGCTCCAAACAGTCTGGCGTCAGCATGCAATTAGCCTGGGCTTCTAAGAGTTGGAGCGCTATTTGCTCAGATTGTATGAGCAAGAACTGGTTTTATAAGATTTGTAGGTTGAGCAGAGTTGGGCTTCTTAGTTTAATTTTTTTTCCTTATGAAAAGTCTTCCCCAAAAGGATAATTTATTGATATAATAAGGATGAAAGCCAGGGACATGTCACCAAACTACGGTGGTGAGAAAGGGAGGAAGTTGAATGGGTTTTTTCTCAAGGAGCAAATACCAAATATCAAAGTAAGGAAGACTTCTTCTCCTATCATTGCTCAAAAAGCACCCAATTGCAGTTAAAAGCACAGAACCTGGAATCCCCCCAAATACTTACCCACTGAAACATTGAGTCAAATGTATTATCTTTATCATAAATCATAAAAACATTTTTTTCTGTTTTGTTGTTGGCTCTTTGATATT